GATGATTTTTTTAAAAAAGGTGAAATCGGCTGCAACAAAAGCTTTGCAGAAGTGAGGCCTTGATTTTCATGTTACTGTGATCATTTGGAAATCTCGCAATAAAATTGTCTCCTTGAAAAACAAAAACAGTGTTACTTTAAGGGTGAAGCGATTAATGCGTTAGCAACAAATTTGATTTCTATACGAGGTAACACTGGCAGCCGACTTTTATTTATTTTGAGTGAAGTTGTTTTCGTGCTGTCTGTTTCGACGGAGCTCTGACTAAAATTTTACATCTTGGTTTTTCTGCTCCAATAATTAAGTAGCATACAGTACGCCCACCCCAGTGCACAACTGTTTCGAAAAGGGCCTAGTATTTTCTTGTAAACATAGCTTGCATGTGAGCTCATAAACCGTGGTTGCAATCATTTTCACCTCCCTGTCCTTCCTCATTTATTCCTCCTCCATTTTCAATGAAGACTCCTAGGGCGCCGCTATAATTCTCTCTGGGCTGTTCTTAACTTGTGTGACCCCCGAAAATGTACTGTCGATGCTTTGACTGCTTTTGTACCCGCGATCAGCTACCCAGAAAGAAGGCGATCCTTCCCTCTGTTGAAAAGAGCTCCAATGGAATATTGCAAATAGGTGTGACTCCCCCCCCCCCCTCCCACCGAAAATGAATTACCGGCACACATCAGCCATTGTGGCGGTGTTGTGCTTTCATGCAAGTACACACACAAAAAAAAAAGGTGCGTTCTATTTACTGTAGGAGAGAGCGCTCGCAAAAAATTTGTCGCCAACACTTGTAATGCAGGTGGCTGTTGTTTGATGTCATGGCGTGAGGTGAGACGTTTGGCGTACAGATGCACTACACGCAATTTAAAAATTGATCCTAGATGTGTTGTAGGTTATATCAGCTATTGATGTTTCGACGTGACGCATTTGTGTACACTCAAACCTATCCCACAAGTTTTCTCGCCTTCAAAATTTTGTCACGACTTCTCTAAGTGGAGCCCAGCACTGTCGATGTCTGTCGAGTTAGCGCGTTCGCCAGCGCTCGCGACTATCCCTGTCTCAACGCCGCTCATTATGGTTCCTTGCCCGCCGAAGCAAGCGACGACAGGCCTCGCGCGCGGAGTGGTGTGATCGCATGTGCCCTTCGCGCGACGGTGACGAGCGGGTCGTTTAATCTCTGCTTTACCCACATTCATCTCTATTGCTAGCGCGCTTTTACTCGCACGTGAAACAGACCATGCGTAAGCAATGTTATTGGTGTGGACTCTGTACAGATCAGCGGCAACCTCAAAATTCCGCTGACAGTGTGTGCCCCCCCCCCCCCCCCTACGGTCGACGTATTTTATACCCCCCCCCCCCTTCTGCGGGCAACATATTTTCAGTCCCCCCCCCCCCCCCCCCCCCCCCCCTCGTTGAGTAGTCTCGGATTTCGTTTCTTCAAACTTGGCAGGTATGGCATCCTACCGAAAGTAAAATTCTGCTACTACTCAAAGTTATTCTGACTTCTTTCAAACGAAAAATGTTATTATGCCACATATACTTTTCGAATTCTATTCTAAATTATTCGAACGATATCACTATTCATTTCAAATTCGCTTTGAATCTAAAATTCACTATTCTCACAAGCCTCATTTTCTCAATTAAGGTAAATGACTAGGTATTGCTACTGTGTGACCGAAAATTTCTTCAAGTGAAGAAAAATTCAAAATTGTGTGTATGTATTAACTAGACAAAATGTTATGTACACAGACAAGTTATATGTTAAATTATAAATGGTAGACCTAGCTAAAAATTATTAAGTGCACGTACACAAAAACAGAGGAAGGTGATAACACAAACATTTACTTTCATATTTGCTCACAAAATTTCAACTGATATTTATTCATGCCACAAAATTGTAATGCCGTCATTATGATAACTTGCTCAGAAACTATTTCTTTAGAGGATCAAATAATGGATGGCGCTACGCATGACTTAGCTGCTCTTGTAATCAAATCAGCCTCTATTGTCTTCCTGACGTCCTGGTTCCTATTTCTCGCTATTAACTCTACATACACCATACACTGGTTTGCTAGGATTTCAAATCAGAGGCTCATTTGATTAAAAAGGTGGGTGTGTCATGTGTAAGCGCACCTTCCGTTACTTTATCTTCTAAAGGAACACAGTTTGTGAGCATGTTCATATGATAGCAGCTTTACAATTTTGTGGTGTCGTGCAAGAAAGTGTCCTTATTATGCAATTTTCTCAATAAATGATCAGTGGGAAGTAAGCGCTTGTGTTATCATCCCCTTTCTCTATTCTTGTGTGCATGTGCTTTAGGAAATGTTTTGCTGAGCAAAACCAGCTCATCCAAAAATCAGTGTTTTTGAGAAATTCTCCTGTAGATTCAACATTTTTTGCATTTCTTGGCTTTTTTGTTCTTCAGTTTTTGACAATACTGGCATATACGGGTATATATGTAACAGTGGAACAAATTTACATTGCGAGCACTTTGATGATACATCACTGTGCTTCTTGCGAGCGAATGACACTGGGTTTACATGTAGGTGTGCACGGTAGCGTGCCACATGTCACTGTATTAAATCGTTTTTCGAGGGCTCTTGATTTTTTCAATAAGTAGCCCGGAGCACCTTTGAAAACAGACGACACAGCATCCTTGGTGAGCCTAGTTCTCTTTCCCGATGTTAAAATGTGATCGTGCGTCGATCTTGGCAGACCTTGTTTTGAAGACGAAATGCAAAGTGTCTTTCGTGCACACTATCGGCCCTTTGCAGCTCATGATCTTTTCATGGTATCGCGCAAGAAGGCTTTCTTCAATGGGGCTGGTCGTGTGATTAGCGCATACTTTTCTTTGCAAGGTTTGTACCCACTGTTGCAAAAGAGCACAAAGCACTTGCCCTTTTTTCCGCAACAAACGAGCTCTAAAAAGCAGTGGCAGCAACAACAAAAAGTGTGTGCACTGCAGGGCTACCTAACATGAGATCTGTAAAAAATAGGTAAATTGTGGTGATGGTCATGGTGGTCAACACTTTAATTCGCCAAAAAAAGGAGAGACCAGTCTAAAGACCGGTTACTTTGACCTAAGTGGCAAGGATTACTTGGGATTACGCAGCCACCACCTTGTGCTGGAGAGGCTTTTTAGAATGGCCAGCCAGTCGTTAGTCCAGTGCACCATCTGTCGGCGCGCAGAAAAGGAGTACACGATCCGGCTCCCTTCGCAAAGCGCTTTCTCTGTGTTGTTCATTCACCTCAAATATTTTTTTCACCATGGTCCAGCTGAAGCCTTATAGCATAATTTCCGTGCACTGAGCTCTTCGCCGCCCCTGTAGGATGTCTTGGATGCAGCCATTTGATGTGTGCCGGAACGAACCATTAAGCGCGTCTGTATGAAGGCTGGAACTGAGCCCTGCCGGATGGCTGAAACGAGCGTCGAACGGTGATGCTGCGCTCATGGATCGCTGAAGCTTGAGTCTGCATTTCGGAGGCGTTCAATCGTCGTGCCTTCTAGAAGTGCTTGATTTCAAATGCCCTTGATGGCACTGAAGATGAGGTGCTGTGGCAGGACATCTCTGACTAGCGAGTTTTCGGATAAGTGCATCTAGCTGTGATTTATTTATTTATTTATTTATTTATTTATTTATTTATTTATTTATTTATTTATTACAAGTACCTACATCGCCCATTGGGCATTGTTGTAGGGGGGTTACAGTAGAAAATAGAATACAAAACAGCAAAATTAAAAGCAAATAAATCGTGCATTACAGTATACAGGAGAAATCAACACTTGTAGTACAGCATTAGAACAAAAGTACAAAACACAGGATTATACAATGAAAGCAGTAATTATACATATAAAAAATCAACAACCAAAAGAAGTACAAAGCCAACGTTAAATATATGGGTTATTTCAGCAGCTCAAAATGCTGTTTCAATGGCTGTTAGGAAATTAGAATCAGAGAATATTGGTATTTTTAGCGCATTTCAGTCACTAATAGAATTTGGAAAGAAAGAGTATTTAAGGACATTCAATCGACAGGTATATTCTCTAATTTTATATAAGTGATCTTTTTGTTCGGACATCTAACTAGGCGTCTTTAAATACCGCTCTTTATTTAGCCCAGTCTTACCATGATATATATTATAGAGAAATTTAAGTCTTTGAACTTTCCGTCGTCCACAAAGGGGTTCCCATCCCAAGGCCTGAAGAATTCCAGAAGACCTTATTCTAAAATCGTAGTTTCCTGTAACAAACCTAGCAGCCCTTTTTTGCACCCTCTCCAACTTTTCCTTTAGTAAATTCGTGAAAGGGTCCCAAGAAACACAAGCATACTCTAAAATTGGGCGCACATTTGTAATATACAGGGTTGCCTTGAGTGTTTGCGGCGCGTCGCTGAAATTTCTTTGAAAAAATGAATTGAGCGCGAAGCCTTGGCTGTGATTAGATCTACGTGACTGGTCCAATCTAGTGTTGCCATGAATGTTAAGCCGAGATACTTAACTTGATCTACCTTTTGTACTGCGCAGGAATTTAAGTAATAAGACCTGGATACTACCTTTTTTACTTTTTTTGTTATTAAATTGCACATGAAAACATTTAGTTAGGTTCAAACTCATTTGCCACTGAGCACACCAAGACACAGTCTTATCAAGGTCAGACTGAAGTACTGTGGTGTCATCAAAACACTTGACTGGGCAATACAAAACACAATCATCAGCATAAAGCCTCACTGTTGATTTCAAACCCAGTGGAAAATCATTGATAAAAATCACAAACAGAAGCGGCCCCAGGACCGACCCCTGTGGCACCCCGGACAGTACATCAGCTGTTGATGAAGACACACCATTTATCACAACACATTGATCAATAAGTGTGAGAATAAATGTTTTTATTTTTTGTTTTGCTTGGGCTATGTTAGGGTGAAATGAAAACTTTTTTTCCACACTGTAGTAGGGCCAGCAAACATTATACTTCAGGAACAGTGACACATTTCTCCCTATTTCTGCAGGCAAGAAGCCTACAAGATTCACTTTCTGATGGGTCTTCTCGTCTTTGTCAAGTCATGTTCCCTACTGCTGCATGGGGTAAGTTTCTGAGCAATCTCTGCAGGCTCTTTCACCTTTGCCATTGACTTTTTCCAGGCACAATATGTTTCAAAATAGAGTTGATCATCTAAACTGAAACTCTCCTCTGATATCAGTTCCTGTGGTCCCTGTGATTACACTGCCCTTAAAAATTCTCTATTTGATGAAACTTGGCTAGTTTGTAGCGCCTAGCTCTTTCAGCCCCGCCGCGGTGGTCTAGTGGCTAAGGTACTCGGCTGCTGACCCGCAGGTCGTGGGTTCAAATCCCGGCTGCGGCGGCTGCATTTCCGATGGAGGCGGAAATGCCATAGGCCCGTGTGCTCAGATTTGGGTGCACGTTAAAGAACCCCAGGTGGTCAAAATTTCCGGAGCCCTCCACTACGGCGTCTCTCATAATCATATGGTGGTTTTGAGGTGTTAAACCCCACAAAATCAATCAATCCTAGTTCTTTCAGTGCACAGGCTTAAGTCGAGTGTGCCAGAAATGTCCTGTCCTTCCTCGTCTCATCGAAGTAATGTAAGCTCATGACCAAAAGTTCTGACATCCTACAGTGCATCATTATGATTTTTGGACTCAGGCTGGCATATCGAGTGCGACATCGAATGCCATGACCAGCTGTTTGTGATGTTTACAATATTTTTGCTAGACTGCCAACACTGAGAAGTTGTGGAATATACTGGCTGGTGGGCTGAGTGGAGGGGCCTTTTTGTGGGAGGATGTGGCAATTCTGGTGATGCCTTCCATCTTAGGTCAGCAGGTGGTGCGACTTGTAAAGGTGTGGCCCATACATAGGCCTGTGGTATCTGCCTTCATAGCTCCCTCCCTGCTTCGTGTTGTTGTGTGGGTGATGTCTTCGCTGTTTTGACCGCTTCTTTGTGCCCATACGTGTCAAGGAAAACTGCATACAGTAGTAAGGCAATGGGAGGACAGGCTTCTGCACTTTCTCTTGAAATAGAACAACTTTGGTCTATCTCATGAACAACTGCTTAATTTGTTAGTTTTTTCATTTATGTCTTGCTGTTTGTTGCTTCAGCTGTTTCTCTTAGAGGATCGATCAATTTAACCTCCTGCAACTTTTGTTTCCATTTGCCTTGTTTGCACCAGAAATGTGGTACTATTTTTTTCGCGTGGGCACCAAGAGGATGAGAAGATGCTCTGAGAAATTCCAATACAGTTAAACCTGGATATAACGAAATTGATAAATTCCCGGAAAAATTTGTTATAAACCAAATTTTGTTATATGCAGGTTTGGTACGAAAATTCGGAACATAAACACGCAAATTAAACAAAAGGAGGCCTGAAGGCAGAGCCAACTCAAAACACTTGTTTTGCAGTAAAAAAGTGCATTATTATTGCGATAGCGGTTATATAAACACTTTAGGCGGGTTTTTGCCATCGCCTCCATGTTTCGTAGCAAGTCCAAATCGATAACATGCGCTGCTCACACAAAAATGATGCATGAAAACAACATACGCAGATGAGAGCGAACTAACAACGTTCATCGCTCGACAATGCGCTGTTTAAACAAAAGAAGGCACGAAACATAATCACAGGTACAGATATGAGTACAAGCTAACAAGTGCCCCAGTTGTTACTTCGCTGAGTTTCAAAAAGCGCACTCTTTTCACAAACGGCGCCTGTCCAGCGAGCGAAGTGATCTTTGTGTGCCCAGCAACTGAATGCAATCGATCCGGTCAAAGTCAAAGGCACGCGATTCTCCCCAACGAACGATAAGCGCGCGCACTCAAGCACCTAACCCCCCCTCGCCCCATTCACAGGGCAAAGTTCGCATTGGAGATAAGCTCTTGTTCGCGCATCGTAACGAGCTGGGCGCCGAGCACGGGCCGCCTTTTTTTTTTTTTCCTGAGTTCTCATATACAGTAGACTCGTGATAATTCTGACTCTGATAATTCAAAATTTTGGTTAATTAAAAAAAAGTCAATTTGTTGGTTTGCCCTCTATTTTTTCAATATATTTAAAAGCCTAGTCATTCAAACTCCATCATTCGGTTAATTCATACTTATTGCAGTTCCATACTATAAAATATCTGCTGCTTTCCCACTACTGTTCAAGTTTTGCAAGCTTATATAATCCTAACAGTCTAAAAATGAAAAATAAGCACCTTGGGCCTTCAAGAAAAAAGGATTTGCAAGTAAACAAATGTTTGAAACAGAGCACAGGCATGATAAACCCTGATGCTCCTGAACTGGTATAGAAAGCTTGTACAGAGAACTGATATATAGAGAGTCCCGCCGCCGCTTTGCGCTGCATCGGCGGCAAGACAGCCGCGAAAGATGCATGCTCTTCGAAAAACTGCCGTTGAGTATAAGTAACGGAGAATAATCTGCCACGATAGCACACACGAGGTCTGATGTTTCTTCTTGGAAATCATTTAATGGATATTCATTCCTCATAGAATTCGAAGAACTCGGCTCATTAACGAAAGCTTGACTACAAAAAAAAAATAAATGAAAAGATTTTCTTTCTGTAGACAATAAAGGTTGTGAACTTAAATTTCATAAATTCGAGCTTATGTTTAATTCGAACTGACGCCCTGGTCTCGGCACAACTCTTTGTATCTAAAATGCTAAAAATTTCAGCACATCAGTATCCTGGACAGTTAATTTGAACTGAAAGTACTTAGTGTTTGCCTAAGTTTGCCTTAGAAGTTTGTCCAGAGTAATCACAATGTGTTGCAAAACTAAACAAAATTTACTGGAGATGTGAGAACAAAACAGCAGCATTTGTCAGCTGATGACAATTAGCAAGCGGCGCTAGAGCTCTTGGGCAAGCTGCAAACAATGCTCTTTAACTCGCGGCACAAGAAGCACGGACAAATATAAATTGAGTATTACTTTTATTTTGATTGCATTAGCTTTGCCGTTAAGTAAATGTGTTTTGGAGCATAAATAGCGTCACATATTTCACATTAATCCACTCACTCTCTCCAGAGGCTCATGATGTCTAGGCCAATCGGTAATGTCGAAGTGTGCCGGCGATTGATCGGCAGGCGTCATCTGTTCCAGAAGTGCTGCTTATAGCTTGTTTCAAGAGCTGCACGGCACACAGTTTCCACTAATAACTAATGGCATGCTTGCTGCCAGAATGTTTTTCTCGTCTGTTTCTGGACATCGCGTTCCTTACCACTTAGAGCTCATGAACGGTGGGAATGCGTTGTTCAAGTATACTTTATCCTTGGATTAATTAGTCCAAAGCAGCTTTTTAGGGGCAAAGCCACTTAAGGGGAGATGCAATTCGGAAAAAAAAAAAAGTTGCGTTAATCTGTCATTTAGGGCAATGACAGGTTTGCTGTATAGTGTAGCGTTTTATGCTGATTTCAAAAACGCAATTAGTTTTATAGTAAGCTGCAGAGTTTTCATTTTGTAGCATGACAATGTGTAAAGTACAGTTCCTTTTGGAGAAACTTTTAACCCCTAAACTCACGTGGTTCTGAATCGTCAAATGGCTCATATTCTTCCACATTAACTGTAAAATGCAAATAACTATCGAGAAAGTGTGTATAAGCCATTATAGTCTATCAAAATTGTAATGCCGGAATTCTTGGAATATTCAGCCCATACAAATTGTTTATGTTAGTTTCGCGATATATACGGGGAAAATCAAGTTTTGAAGGAGATATCTGCATCCTTCACATGTTAAGGAACATGTAGGCTAAACTTCATCTTGATCAGATTAGCATAAGTACCAAAAGCATGCTTTCCAAACTCAAAAAGTTGCCCATAAATGGATCTTAAGAAAAACGCGTTTTAAGGTATTCGTGAAACCTCACCTATGCAGAAAAGATGTGTTTTTTTAAACGATTTTTTCCATCATTAGAGTTTGGAAATCATAATTATTTTGACTATGTGGCTTCAGTGAACCCCTGATGCGAAATGCAATGACAAACGGTCAGGAGGCAATTTTTAGAGGATTCTAGACAATGAGCTGTTTTTAGTTTTAGTAGCAGCCTTGTGCTCTTTAAAAATGATCTGAAGCTACTTCAAGTTTAGTTATAATCTTCTGTTTTTTGCTCATGAATGCAAGAAAACTTAACTTAGGCCGGGTTAAGACAAAAATACGAAATGCAAAAAGGATGACACAAGCGCTGATCAGCACTTTTGTCGTCCTTTTCATGTTTTGTGTTTGTGTCTTAACTCGGTGTGCACTGCCATTTATCGTAAAAACAGTTTTGAGCCCACATATACATTTTAAAAAAATGTTCAAAATATGTAAGTTCGAAAGAAAAAACTTGTTTTTCTATTCGCATCTCTCCGTAAGTTCAAGGCTTGTCCATTGGCGTGCACCATTGCCGTGATGGCGACGATGACGCTGATAATGACGATGATCACGGACAACTGGCTTGTGCAGTATATGGCGTCTTGGTATGTTCTACGATCCATTTCCTGTGACTGGAAACAACCAACAACCACCAGGGGAACATCTTTGCCAACTTTACGCTAAATCTGATACCTCAAAGCAGTAATAATTAAGGAAAAATGGAATTCACAACTCAACACAACATACTATTCATGACCAATAAACCACAGCACTGACTTGACCCAAGTTTTGTAGCTGATGGCCACTTGCTCCTACTAAACGTAGGGATGAAGGCCTTATGCTTAATTCGAGTTTGTCAACTATTGGTGCCGTAATTAAGGTTTTGGCAGCTCCAGAATCCAAGATGCCTTTAATCGTTTGCCCGTTGATGACGACAGGAACAGAAAAAGTACCCGCTTCAGAGACACATGACACCTGCTCAATCTGGCGACTGCTCGCGGGCATTGGGGTCACCAGCAGTTCGTTTCCCCACTGTTGTGAGCTGGAAGATTCGAAATCTTACTGCTACTTCAAAAATTCTGCAGTTAGCGGTAGATGACACTGCGTGACAAAATGGCCATTTCTGGAGCAGTTCGAGCACAGTTTATGAACTCTCAAGGCATTTCCTTGCGACCTTTCAAAAACACGCGTTGCGGAATGAGTTGATTGCTGCGACGGTAAT